TAAAAGAATGAAAACAATTCCACCGAGACTGTTTCAGATATAGTTCCCATGTACATACAACTACTGGCAGCCATTGCTGTGCATATGCTGCTTACTGTATTACCAGTGATGATGCAATTTCCTTGCACACCCGTCATGACTTTTAAAAAATTTGCAAGTGATTAGCGATTCTGAAGATCGTAAGAAATTCACTCTACGAATGTATCCCTCAGGAATACTTGAGGCTATCATTTCTCCTTTAATAGCAAAAGCAACAGTGCCACTCTGAAACAGCTGAGTTCAGATAAAATATAATAGGATACTTCGCAATTATAGTATTTCTACTGCTTTTTTCGCAGTGCTATGATGTTACTTATATAACCTAGAGAATTCAGTGGTGAGCAAAAACACGGTCTCAAGCGGGAATCGAACCCACGTTTCATCCTATCCGGGGACGCGTGCTCTACCACTACACCACCGAGGCACATTTGCCCGACCACTCAATCTTCAACATCTTCATGTTAGCTATCAGCCACCAATCTTTAACAGGTTTGGTCGGATATGCGATTTCGCTTAATAAATCCCGTTAAGCAGACAGCCATTGTATATTATATAGTATTTCGAAATTATAGTATTTCCACTGCTTTTTTCACAGTGTTATGATGTTACTTATATAACTTAGAGAACTGAGTGGTGAGCAAAAACACGGCCTCAGGTGGAAATCGAACAGCTATTAGTCGAATTTTTGCTCGAGAATCGAATTTTTGCTCACCACTCAGTTCTCTAAATTATATAAAATAGGATAGTTAGAGTAAAGTACAGTAAAAATCCCTAAGAAATGCTTTGTGTTCACAGTTGTAGAATGCTCGCACTCTCAGTTAATTCTATTGTCTTCAATAAGACTGTGAGCAAAATGCTTTCACTCCTACGAGCATCATCTTACGAACTATGAATCTCATTTCATGTACGGATCGTGCGATGTATTGGAATCAAGGAATAGTATTAGACACCAACCCAGAATCTGCATATTCTGCGCATTAGGATTGACAAGTACATTATCGCATTGAAGCGCGTTGTAACTGACTCGGACAGTAAGCTGACTCGAAATGCCAGATATCACAGTAGGAAAGAGGCCGGCACGGCGACCTTGTTCTTCTAGTACATCAGTGACCTTAAGAAATCTAGTCATAAATTGAACTAATCTCATTAAGTGTACTAGAAACATCAAGACACTGCTGTAATAACAACATGAAAATTTCCATAGAGCTACAGCATGCATTATCAGCCGTTGTACAAGTGATTGAGACTTCCCTTCCACTTCTTAAAATTCCGGCAACCTGTGATGCGACATTATCTTTAGACGTCCGAAGCCATGTTAACAGGTAGGCTAAATTCAGTGACTCTGAAGTTCAATGCTCTTGCTGAAAAATGAAAAAATTTTGATGTTCTGATTATACCGAGCTGTGGCAGTTGCACATTTCTTGACAGTTACGACTATGCACTGGAGTGACTACAAGTACGTAAATACTTTTCACTTTAAGTGCTTTCTTCAAAATCACGCTCAGATTCCAATATGTCTGGTAATTATTTTTTGAGCCATGCATGTGGTCTAATATGGGCAATTGTACAGCCCGATACAACGTGTTTCGGCCTTGGCAGCCTCGTCAGTCCGGCAGGCTCTTCGTCTTTAACTAATCTTCTCGGGGAGAACTCAACCCTATATTTAGAGTAGGCGCAGACGTCTGCAGGTAGTGGGCTTTCTGCCCGAGAAGGATTGGTCAAAGACGAAGAACTTGCCCGACTGACGAGGCTGCCAAGGCCGAAACACGTGTATCGGCTGTACAAGTGCCCATAGCAGACCACATGCGTGGCTTAAAAAATAGTACCAGGTATATGCAAATACTATCAATAACAGAACTGCTTCTATGTCCACTAATACGGGATGTTCCATAATTTCTTCCTCATTTGTACACTTTTGTTAATTCAGTGTCATTATTCCAACAATGTTAAGTGATATGAAAAACTTTGACGTCAGGCGGTACTCAAACCCGCATCTCACCGTTTCCGGGGCGTGTGCTTTCCCCAAGTGCACTGTCGACGCCTGTTTTGCCATCGATTTTTTATCTTCGCTTCAAGACATCAATCTGTCATCAACCAAACGTCAACGGTTTGGCCTGGTGGTCGATATCGACGGTCGACCCAGTCACGCTGACAGGTTATATAAGCGGTGGAACGATATGTTACAAATATTTATTAATAATGGTGAGTAATATGCAAAACTTTCACGTCAGCAGCTAAAAGCGGTTAATCAAAAGATTTCTTGTCGATAACATATATATCCAATACCTGTCAGCGTAACTGGATTCAGTGTCGACAATGACTACCAGGCCAAACCGCTGACTGTTGATTGCTGATAGATTGATGCACTGTAGCAGAGAAAGAGTGGTGGCAAGCAGGCATCCGTAGGTCGATTGGTTAAAGCACAAACCTCAGAATATGAGGGAAGGCTGAGATGCAGGTTCGAATCCCGCCTAATGCGAAGGTTTTGCACATCACTCACCATCATGATCATGTATTCTATCGACTTTAGATAATAATGTATCATCATCACTGAGTGAAGCAGTTTGATTCCTAAACTGCAAGCGAAGAATGTTGAGTGATTTGCAAATCAGTCGATATCAGTCGGGAGTTGAACCGGCAATTCACCCATACCGAGGCGCTCTCAGCCACTACACCGCCGATTCACCGCTTGGCTATCACTCTTTCCGCGGTAAGAACTGTTGAAGCTGCCAGGAATCAACCATTGACGGTTGCTCTGATAGGAACATGTCGGCATCAAACTCAGCAAAGTTGATACTTCCTAGATATGTAAGAATTACGAAAAATGTCCAAAGTAGTACTGTTTTCTAACACTGTTATGATGTTATAAATCGTTCTCATCGCAAGGAGAGTGATAGCAAAGTGATGGTATCAGTGGTGTAGAGACACCATGTGCACTGGTATGGGTGAAACAAGAGTTGAACTTCTGCGTGATGAATTTTTTACATATTGCTCAACATTCTCAGCTGTCTATTTGTAACATCATGGCACTGCTGAAAATTCAGTAAAAATAAAAAATTTCCCTAAGAAGCAGTATATGCATTACTCGTACCTTGACCAGGAGGCATTGTTCCACACGCAAAAGCAGCTGAAGCTACGAAGAGAAGACATATCAGGAGAGCCCTTGCCATTAGAGCTTTTAAGCGTTTCATGTTCAAACGAATGATAGAATGTTTGATTCTGGATAGATGAGGGCTATTGGCGGTTCAACATCGGGAAATGTAAATGTGCGAAAAACCTTCAAGTGACTGCTCTTTCATTTCCGATAGCAATCTTAACTATAGTTTCTCACGCCGCTGAATCAAATTGATTTTGCGCTATCCAATCGTAAATAAGGCAGACAGATACACATTATTTCATTCGAAAATGTGCCTTCGAAAATCGATCATAAACGATTGTATATCAGTCCATGATAACATACTGTGAATAAGAACAAAAACAATTGCCTTACTGCAAGCTTTCACTGGTCATTTCAATCTTTCATCATGTGAAGGACTCCTTTGAGCCTTGCTCTCTCCTTAACAAAATGACGGATACATTTGCAGGCTCAAAAAAGTGGCGATCCGTGCATGGACGTATCGAGGTGTATAGACTTATAAAGATCTAGCTAATCAAATATATTGTCAGTGAGAATGCTGCACTGAAACTGCCTACTCATTGCTCGACTGAATAGACGACTGAGATAACATTTCACGTTGTCCGGCTCTAACATGCTTCCTCGTTTTTCGCTATTGCAAGGGTGACTGCTGTGGCGCGTGGTTATGACGAGCCGGATGAGACCGCCGAAATGTACATGAGCTACTGAGATGCCAAACCTCGAAAAGGCCTAGAACAGTCCTACAGAATATATCGAAATCCTATGACGAGGTGTTAGTTAAACAAGATTAGAAGGCAGCAGTTAGCGATGCAGTGTATTAGAAAGTGAGGTTGTAGACCATACGCTGTTTTATTCCCTCTTCAACAGTCTTTCATTCAATCAGCTGAATGTCTAAAAAGGCCGTAGGTCGGGTATCCGCGAAATTGCATGAATAGTTGTATTGACCAGCTTTTCACGACGTACATATAGAAGACGAAATTGTCAAATAGCATCCGAAGCGACAGGTGAATTGTTGGATGAACTTTGGCACAAATGAAGCGAGGAAACGTATAGAACGAAAAGAGTGCCGAGATCCACGTAGTAATTTGTAATAACGGGTAGCTTGAGAAAGTGCTACTTTTTCCTTATGTGTGATGATTCTTGATCTATGGTTTAATCTGCTGTAATCATGTAATGCTTTATTTCTAATATGACCTTTTGAGTGCGCTGTAGCAGCGAAAATAAAATTAGGCTCCATACTCAGCACGCTCCTGCGCATTTTCTGCTGAACAGAGCTTTCCTCTTAGACTTTTGATCATTCAACAGCTTATATCTTTACAATTACGGCATCCCATTCCCAAAAAAAAATCCATTAACAGTCAACAACCTTCAGCCTCGGCTCATGGCGTAAACATAGTCTTTCCTTGTCTCGCAATTCAACACGTACCTATTTGATAATTTATGGCCTTTGTTCCAGCAAAAAATTTCCTCTGCTTCCACAGTTCTCTAAGAACACATTTAAGGTAGCTCATCTGGTTAACCAGTACACTTACATCCACCCTTTCCTCTCGTTCAAACGTCTTATGAAGAAAGTTCGTTGCAGTTATTAGCTTATTCTTCTCAAGTCCATCGTTTGCTTCTCCCATGTTCATTTCTTATAGCAGTGATCAGTTTTAGCTTGTCGATGTCCATTGATTTTTAGATGGGTATTCCATAGCTTCATGTCCTGCTTACCATTCCGTTGCATGTAGTAAACTCGAGCGCTGAGCTATTAATTTATTGACATTAATTGTTCAGATGTACAAATTGTGCAAGGTCGTAGTTTGACAGAACGTCACATATCCGATTTAACAGTCATGTTGTTATATATATCCGCGGACTGCACAATTAATGATATCATGGTATTTGAGTTGTACAATTCCTACTTATCACAGAGAAAACAAAATCTTCAAGCAGCAGTCAAGGCAGCACGTGAAATGTCTCAAAACCTTTGTGAGGATACATGCGAATTGAAATAATTAAAAGACTTCTACACGACTCGACTTCAAATATATCACAATGTACGGATTTCAGGCATCTTGTGTCTAATTCGCTCCCCTCATTTCTCGTTCACGAACCATCTTCGGTCTTTTTATACGTGCGGTAATGTTGCTGAATGCTGGTTAAGTCTATTCATAGTAAAATTTTGTGACAGCAGTGTTGGTGCGTTTCCGCGTGAAGTGCATGGATTCATCTTGCTTCAACGAATCTGGATCAATTTTGTAACACAGAGTGATCTTGAGGCTTTGCAAGCTGATTGGAGGTCCGAA